AAGTCATGACAAAGTCTTTACGATGAAGTTTTTGACAAAGTCTTACGATGAAGTCTTACGAATATCATAGACAAATTGACAGAAAAGTGAATCAAACAAAAAGTGACACATGCATTGCCAACAAATAATTTACAAAGCAATATAAAATTACTTGTCAAGCTTACTATTCTTTTTTAACAATTAAAAAAATTAAATTTTTTTTTTATTTAAAAAAATCATCTTTACATATCTGATTTTATAACAGCATTATATTTCAATTTCACAATCATTTTATTTCTTTAAAATAATTATAGAATATATAACCGACTTTTTGTACATAAATATTTAAGATTCAATAATGATTTACGGTTTTTTTCAAAACTTATAATTTTCAAATGAGTGTATACTTACATGAATGGCAAATCGAAGATTTTGGCAGAATATTCAAGTTGATGAGGTAGCTTGGAATAAATTCAAAATTTAATCGAAAATTATAACGCAACACCACAATACACAGTTACCAAATCAGAAATACATACCTGGTTTACCCAAACAAATTTTATATATCAGCGAAAAATATGATACCACCAAAGACCCCTTTGGAAAGTTTGATGGAGAAATTAAGGATTTGAGGATTTCTCTTCAACATTTCCGCGAGAGGAGAGCCAATAAAGAAATTAATTCGTAATATTTAAAATCGAAAATAAAATCTAATTTTTTAACAACAAATTAACAATATCGATTACATCTTCTTACTAAGCTCAGTCAGATTAATAAGAAAACACACTCTTTAAAACATTTACATATTTTTTCTTCGTTACAGAGATACGCAAGTTGCGAAGAAGCAGCAACTGTAGTACAGTAATTTGACACTCCGAAATCGAACATTAGTGACTTTTGAGTAGATTTTGAATTTAATATAGATCTTGATTTTTAATACCATCATAGCAAGAGCTAGTTGGTGAATGGTATCCGCGAATTTCGGCTTGAAAGTTGGGAAACTTTGTCCGAATGTTAAACTATTCGGACAAAGTTTCCCGCTGTTTGCGAAGGAATTGTTGGCTATGATGTACTGAATTCATGATCAGTACATCATAGCCACAAATTCCTTATACAAAGTTCAAAAACTTGGGTGCAATCAGAACTGATTTCACACAAGTTTTTGAACTTTCTCGAGGGAATGAAAGGGTAAGAGATATCCATTTCCTTTCACCTTCGTTCTCAATAATTAAACTTATAAATTTTTTAAAGCAAAAAAAGTCTGATTTTTTTTGACAGTAAATATATAGGGAATTTATCCGACTAAATAAGTGTTCACTTTTTCGGTTCACGCTCACTTTCCGTAACTCGTCTTACAACAAAACATTGACGAAGAAAGTCATGACAAAGTCTTTACCGTGAAATCATGAAATTCAAGAGGTGAAGTATGACAAAGTCTTTACGATGAAAATCATGAAAATTCAAGAGGTGAAGTCTTGACAAAAACATATACGATGAATGAATCATGATCAGAAACATTGACGATGAAAGTCTTGATCAAAACATATACGATGATCTTGACAAAATATTTACAAGAGTCTTGACAAAACATTTACGAAGAAGTCTTGAAAAAACATTACGAAAAGTCTGACAAACATTGACGATGAAGTCCTTGACAAAACATTTACGAAGAATCTTGACAAGTCTTACGAGAATTTTACAAAACATATACGATGAAGTCATGACAAAACATTTACGAAGAAGTCTTGACAAAACATTTACGAAGAAGTCTTTGACAAACATTTACGAAAAAGTCATGACAAAACATTGACGATGAAGTCTTGACAAAAACATTTACGAGAAGAAGTCTTGACAAAGTCTTACGAAGAAGTTTTGACAAAACATTATACGATGAAGTCATGACAAAACATTTACGAAGAAGTCTTGACACAACATTTACGAAGAAGGTCTTGACAAAACATTTACGAAGAAGTCCTTGACAAAACATATACCATGAAGTCATGACAAAGTCTTTAGCGATGAAGTTTTGACAAAGTCTTACGATGAAGTTTTGACAAAGTCTTTACGATGAAGTCTTGACAAACCATTGGACGAAGAAGTCATGACAAAGTCTTTACGATGAAATCATAGAAAATTCAAGAGGTGAAGTCCTTGACAAAACATATACGATGAAGTCATGACAAAAACAATTGACGATGAAGTTTGACAAAACATATACGATAAGTCATGACAAATCTTTACGATGAAGTTTTGACAAAGTCTTTACGATGAAGTTGACAATAGTCTTTACGATGAGTCTGACAAAACATTGACGAAGGAAGTCATGACAAAGTCTTTACGATGAAATCATGAAAATTCAAGAGGTGAAGTCTTGACAAAATTACGATGAAGTCTTGACAAAACATATACGATGAAGTCATGACAAAACATTGACGATGAAGTTTGACAAAACATATACGATGAAGTCATGAACAAACATTGACGATGAAGTTTGACAAAGTCTTTACGATGAAGTCATGACAAAGTCTTTACGAAGAAGTCTTGACAAAGCTTTACGATGAAGTTTTGACAAAACATTTACGATGAAGTTTTGACAAAACATATACGATGAATTGACAAAGTCTTTACGATGAAGTTTTTGACAAATCTTTTAACATGAAGTTTTGACAAAACATATACGAAGAAGTCCCTTGACAAAACATTGACGATGAAGTCATGACAAAACATATACGATGAAGTCATGACAAAGTCTTTACGATGAAGTTTTGACAAACATTGACGAAGAAGTCATGACAAAGTCTTTACGAAGAAGTCTTGACAAAGTCTTTACGATGAAGTCATGACAAAGTCTTTACGATGAAGTCATGAAAAAACATTGACGATGAAGTCATGACAAAACATTGACGATGAAGTCATGACAAAACATATACGAAGAAATCATGACAAAAACATTTACGATGAAATCATGACAAAACATATACGATGAAGTCTTGACAAAAACATTGACGATGAAGTTTTGACAAAGTCTTTACGATGAAGTTTTGACAAAGTCTTTACGATGAAGTTTTGACAAAGTCTTTACGATGAAGTTTTGACAAAGTCTTACGAAGAAGTCCTGACAAAACATTTACGATGAAGTTTGACAAAGTCTTTACGAAGAAGTCTTGACAAAACATATACGATGAAATCATGACAAAACATATACGAAGAAGTTTTGTGACAAAAACATATACGATGAAGTCTTGACAAAGTCTTTTACGATGAAGTCTTGACAAAACATATACGAAGAAGTCTTGACAAAACATTGACGATGAAGTCATGACAAAACATATACGATGAAGTCATGACAAAGTCT